TGCGGTGGCCGGGAGCGGCCACTGCACTCCAGTTTGGGTGACAGAGTGAGACTCCAACTCAAAAAAAAAAAAAAAGAGAGAGAGAGATTTCATTAGTTGGAATATGCTGTTGACATCATCTAGTCATCTGAGAACAAGCAGGGTAAAGCACTAGTGCTGCATAACTAAGTTATATTTTTTATTTTTATTTTTTGAGTAGGAATCTCAGTCTGTCACCCAGGCTGGAGGGCAGTGACACGCTCACAGCCACCGCAGCCTCTACCCGCTGGGCTCAGGTGATCCTTCCACCTCAGCCTTCCAAGTAGCTGGGCCTGGCCTGTAAGTTGTATTTTTAAAGTTCTATCATTTAAGACATATGTAAGTCTGAGAAGGAAAGGAGGAATATTGAAAATATTAAATAGGGCCGGGCTCAGTGGCTCATCCCTGTAATCCCAGCACTTTGGGAGACCAGGGCAAGTGGATTGCCTGAGCTCAGGGGTTTGAGACCTGCCTGGGCAACTTGGCGAGACCTTGTCTCTACAATAAATCAAAAAATTAGCTGGGCATGATGGCGCACGCCTGTGGTTCCAGTTATTTGGAAGGCTGAGGCGGAAGGATACCCTGAGCCCAGCAGGTTGAGGCTGCAGTGGCCATGAGCGTACCACTGCACTCCAGCCTGGGCCACAGAGTGAGACTCCAACTCAAAAAAAAAAAAAAAAGAAAGAAGATATTAAATAAAAATAAGTTAGGAAATGTTACATCAAAATGATTCTGTGATCAAATATATGTGGGGAATGCTGCAGTTCATAGTGTCCATAATAGTCTAATTCTAAGTCTCCAGAGTGGGATGTGTTCAACAGTAATTTGGAAAATGTATTTGACCATGGAACCCTTTTCTGTGGTGAGTCTTGAACTGGTATCCCTGGAACACATTTTGCAAAAAGTGGGGCTAGAGCATACAATGTGTTCAAAGAGGTGATCAAAAATTAAGTCTAGAATAGAGCTAGTGACTGGCTCATGGAGGACCTTGTATGTTATGTTAAGAAACAGTGAGAAGCCACTCTGTGGCTCAAGCCTGTAATCCCAGCACTTTGGGAGGCTGAGGCAAGAGGATTGCCTGAGCCCCCAGGTTCGAGACCAGCCTGGGCAGCATGGCGAGACCTCATCTCTACAATAAAAATCAAAAAATTAGCTGGGCGTGGCAGCACGCGCCTGTAGTTTCGAGTACTTAGGCGGAAGGATCGCCAGAGCCCAGCAAGTCAAAGCTGGGGTGGCCATGAACGTGCCAGTGCACTCCAGCCTGAGCAATAGAGTGAGACTCCAACTTAAAAAAAAAAATTTTGCAGTTTTTTAAAAACTTTGTTGCCACTACATGATAACAGATAAACTCTACTGTGTATCACATTTTATATAGGAAGCTTTTAAAATACCCTAGGCTTTTATTTATTTTCTGAAAATAAACTTTAAATGGTAATTGTCCCCAGTTCCTCCTATAGAATGAATGACTTTCTTCTTCCATCTACGTATTAAAAATCAAACAATACAAAACAAAAGCTCACAGTTAACTATAGCAGTCATTTAAAAATAGAAGATGTCATAATCTTAGAGAACTTCCAAATTTGTATTTGGACAAAGGTGATTGAGTTTTAGTTCCATCAGATTATTTGCTCACATTATTCTATCATTTTAAAATTTACAGTAATTGCTTACTTTTTTTTTTTTTTTTTTTTGAGTCAGAGTCTCTGTTGCCCAGGCTGGAGTGCAGTAGCACACTCAAGGCCACCACAGCATCTACCTGCTGGACTCAGGTGATCCTTCCTCCTCAGACTTCCAAGTAGCTGGAACCACAGGCACACGCCACCATGACTGGCTAATTTTTTTATTTATTGTAGAGATGAGGTCGCGACATGTTGCCCAAACTGGTCTTGAACCCCTGGGATCAAACAATCAGTTTTCAATTTTCAAGCAATCAAATCAATTTTCTTTCTTTTTTTTTTTTTTTTGAGTTGGAGTCTCACTCCATCTCAGCAATTTGGCCCCTGCTTCCAAAATGCTGAGATTACAGGTGTGAGCCATCGTGCCCAGTAGTAATTACATTTTTAAGAGATAAAAAATTAAAAGGATGTGATCAACAGGTATTTTTTCTAAAATGGAAGGATTCAGTGATTGGGGCTATGCAGGATGCAAGTCAACGAAGAAAATTCACTTCTGTGCTTAATAGTGAATATTTAAACATCTCAAATATAGCATATCCAAAGTTTAACACCTG